GTTTAGGGATTAGGGTTTAGGGGGGGGGGGTCCTTTGTTTTATTATATAGTATAATGTGCCCCAAAACCCTATTCTAATTATTAAGGCCCCTATATTATGGGATCGGAAGGCCGGCACTTAAGGCCGGCACTTCGCGGGATGCTGGTGCAGAAGCCTTCTCAGAGAGATGCGCAGCGCTGCAGCGTGCGATCTTGCGGTATAGGCTTTAGGGCAGTGCTCGCTTGACCTCAAATGGTCTCGGTGGGATTCATGTCCAGGCGAGTTCAACTATAAGCCGTTTGGGTCTACATGCCGCCTAAACTAAGCCGAGGCAAACTTGCATGGAACACCATGCAAAAGGGCCTTCACCTGTGGCTTCCTTTCCTACTAAACCTTCCTTCGCGAATACCTGTAAGGGCTGAGTGCTGCAGATACGAATGCGCCGTGTATGAGTGAAGCTCCCAAACCAGGGCTCCCGGTTTAAGGCTTAGGTCGCCTAGCAAATCGTTGCCTTTGAGGCTTTAGGGGTTTCGGGTTTGGGGGGGTTCAGGGGTTAAGGGTTTAGGGCGTCTGAGGCTGGCCTACCAGCATCCAACGAGCAAGATGACCGCTGCAGCTTCAGCTGCATTAGCTAGGTGTTCTTTCTGTCAGCGAGATCTTTTCGATGCAGCACTATCGGGGTCTCGCGTGTTATGGGCCAGGAAGGTCAAAGAAGTTAAGCAGTTCCATCTGAACCTGTCTGACCTGTCTTAGTCTTGCACAAGGATGCTTCACTGGGCTCGGAGCTCCATTAGTCATTAATATAGTCATGAGAAATCAACCTGTTCCGTTTGACCAGGCCCGGTTCTCAAGGCTCAGAACCCGACGGTCTGGGGTGTGCCTTGGCCCTAAACCCTAAACCCTAAGCCCTGAACCCCTAAACCCTAAACCCTAAACCCTGTCAAAGCTTCTCCCCACCTTGTTCAACGCGAAGTCTTTATCCGAATCCTCCCTCCCTCCACTCGACAGCCTCATGCCGCATGAACCAGGCCTACATCATAACCTCCCAAGGGGGAGACCACAATGGTGCCTTCAAAGGACGGCTCGCGGTGGTGTGTGAGGGAGGAGAGATCCTAGTTGACATTGCATGTTACCTTGTCTTGGGTTCGAGTCAGAGCCCCTGCGCTTTGACGTTTGTAAACAGTAACAGACAATAACACATACAGAATATCGGATGCTGGTAATTGATAGTGGCATGGAAATATTGTATAGACTGTTGTAGTGAATGAATAGCAAAACTGCGCCGGTGCGACGGTTCGTCATACTCCCATGTTGTTCACTTACAACAAACCTGTTCAAGACCCCTTTCCCCCTAGGCTCCTCCACAAGTCCTCCGCCCGGAACAATTATATTACGTACCTTTGTTTCATTCCGGGATGATAACTCCTCCGCTAGCCAGGCTAGGGTATTCCTCACTCCCTGTACTCCGCGTACTCCGTTTAGTGTCTCTAGCGGATGCGACGAAACTTTACTACCGGGCATGTAGTGACGATGATAAGTAAAGCCAGCATAATCATAATCTAAAATGTATGCGTTCTAAGTTCTAATTCTACGAACAACTTCTATCTCGACTCCGGCGAAGGCAGAACAACGGCGACGGCGACCTACCATGAATCGGAGAAGCTATCCATAGGTGTCCTAGGATACAAATAGCACGTGCTTTGGGGTCTAAAGTCTGTAGACGGTACCTACTTTGGGCTATTTGTAGCCCCAGGGTATGGACCACACTTTCGATTTGTTCTTTTGTCTCCCCATGACTTTCCTGCTGTGTACACAGGACTCGATGGCGGCGATTCTGCAAGCGGCTTCTGGAACATGTGTAGCTGGGCTTGCCGACCCGAAACCTTAAAGCGGGTGACGACGCTTCCGAAATACGGTCCTTGCCGAGATTCGGAGTTTAGGGTTTGAGGTCGCTTAAGGGGGTTAATCAAAGCATTAAGGGTTCGGAATAGGCCACTGGGATATTTCACATCCAGTTCACATCGTCTGCGAACTGCTGCTGCAAGGTTTAGCTTGTTTACAGCTGTCAAGGCGGTACCTGGTTGCCCATCCCAACGCCGAAATCATCCCCCTGAACCCCAAACTCATCTTAAACCGCAAACCCCTAAACCCAAACCCCTACACCCTAAACCGAGCCCCTAAACCCCAAACCCTGAAGCTTGGCCGCATCCCCAAATCAGGCTATCGTCTTCTACAGATGAGTGCGCATTACAACGTGGCTGCTTGTCTTTAGTCTGTGTCATGTTTAGGTTCATAGGGATTCAGGGTGTGAGGGTCTTGTCTCCCTGGAATCAGAATGAAAGAGTTGGTGTCAGTTTTCAATATTCCGAAGTCGACTTAGAGATTGATAGCACGGTTGGAGGTCTTGCACGCAAGAGCAGTTTAGCTCGGAAACCTTCATCTTCAACCATCCCAAGCCCTCAAGCGCGAAGCGTTTCCCCAAAACCCTCCGGGACCCCAAACCCCAAAGAAAAGTCAGCGAACCGCGTTCCGCGAGCTTTTCCTCCGCCTAAGTCGAAGCTCCGAACCCCGACATCCCAACTTATTCGCCCTCACAACGTGCTGTGGGCAAAGTTTCGCTTACCCGGAGCCCTAGACAGAAGCCTGAAGAGGTCTACCGCAGGGTGAACTCCGTGAAGGAAGCGACCCAGTTTGTAGAGTCTGCCATCCCGACTCAATTTCTTCGTTGCTTGAGTTTGCTGAAGATTTTGGGGAATTCCGGCTCAGGGTTCAACTTCGGACGTAGGCTCCGGGGAGTGACGAAGGCGGCGTCCAAAACTCTGTTGATCTTACTTTTGAGCTGCTGTTCCGTGTGCTTCCATCTTTGCGTTGTGGGGCATGCGGGGGCTGGCGAGTCTAGGAGCTGTCTCGTGATTACCTGGGATAGTCCGCGCCTCGAAACCCCTGCTGGCGGCTTGGGAGACAGACGTGCACCTTGCACAGATGCCAGTACCCTCCGGGTCCAAGCACCAAATAATCGTTTTCTCTTTCAAGTATGAATTTACAGAAGTATTTGCTATCCTAAACCCGAGTGCCTTATTAGTGGGTCCTTTGGACCTTGAGGGCTAGGTCCAGGCTTCCAGATGGACCCTACTGCCTGCAAACTGCTCATAGAGCTCGCCAACGACATTGGCCACTCGTTGTTCGAGCAGGTGAACCCCGCGGCATTTATGTTGAAGACCAAACCCTAAGGCTCCATGTGCCCATATAGTAGATACTTCAGCCTGAAAGAGCCTATATAGGGACCCCTTCAAGGCCTAAGTATCCACTATAAAGTTACATGGAGCCTTTGGGAAAACGGCAAGCAAGGACATGCTGTGCCTGGTCATGAGACTTTCGAGGCTACGAGAAGCGCTACTATGCTAAATGCACCAAACCCTAAACTTAAACCCCAAACCACAAACCCTAAACCCTAAACCCCAAGGCCGAATTCTAAACCCCAAGCCACAAATCCTAAACCCTAAACCCCAAACCACAAACCCCAAACCCCTTAACCCCAAACCCCAAATTTTAAACCCCAAACCAAAAATCTTAAACCCCAAACCCCTAAGATGCCCACTGCCTCGAGTCCTTAAGGCTCAGGGCTTGGGGTTTAGGGTTAAGGGCCCTACACCCTAAACCGAGGAACCCGTCACGGTTTGCGCGTGTGGCTGTCGCGGCCACGGCTCTAAAGTGGCGTTTTAGCAGCCCGAATCAGACGACGAGGCTAAACCACTGCTTAATTACACCCTAAGCCGCAACTTAGATGATGGCTATGCGGCTACTGTTTCGCTCTATGCCGAAAGGATCACGGGACTTAGTAACTTAACGGGTGCCTTTAAGGGTTCCATAAAGGGATCTATAACGGATTCAGGGTCAGGGGTTCTGCCTGAAGGATCACGCGACTTAGTGATTAGGGTAAGAAGTACGGTATATGGCTTGCATCAAGACCTAATTTACTAGTCCCAGAATCTTCCAAGTAGTTGTCGTGGCCTCCATCATTCGAATCCCAAAGGGTCCTAAGTACGTATATAATAGTTTAGTGTCCATAATTAGGGTTTAGGGTTTAGGTTCTATGATCAAGCTTCAAACCTTAGGGTCTAGGGTCTACAATGAGCAGTCCTAAGTACCTATGTCGTAAGAATGTAGTGCTTCTATATTGCCAGTAAGAGTCATTATTCTGATTTGGGAAAGTATCACCCTTAACACTACTTGGGACCCTTTGGGAAGAGGTTTGTGGGTATCGTTCTGGCGTAGTTACATATGTGGGGGCTGTGGGGGGCCTGGCATTTCTACAAATGATACCTGACGCCCTCCGGCCCAGACACGAGGCCACAGTTTGGTTGAAGATTTAGGCATTAGGCTTTAGGATTTGGGGGCTAGGCCGTGTTTCGGGTGTAAAATGGATCATCCATCCGGTTTTGAAGTGAAGCGTAATATATTCCTTGATAATATATACCGGTACCACTATAAACATACCAATAACAACAATAAGCAAAATAAGAACGAGACGAATCATAAGAATAGTCATTGTGATATTATACTAACAATGTCATTCCGCAGGGTTCCTTAAAAGAACTGTACGGTAACAAATAGCCCAACACCGCTACTGTCATCAAGAAGGCCCCGAGAAAAGCCGCCCGTCACGTGCCAGGTCAAAGGCGATGCCAAGCTTGGCCAGGCTTTCAAGCATGTGCGCTTCGTCGGTTTAGGGTTTGGGGTTTAGAGTTTAGGCTTTTGGGCTTGGGATCTCGGGATAAGGGGTTAGGATAAAATTCTAGGGTCTAGGGCTTATAGGACTTAGCGTATAGGGCTGAGGGTTTAGGATAGAGGATATGGGGTTTAGGGTCTAGGGTTTTATACCGTTTCGAGATGCTTTGGGCTCAGGAAATCGCAGGTTTCGAGGTTCAGGTTTGTGCTTTGGGGCTGTGGGATCATGGTGTAAGGTTTTGGGTTATTTTGGGTTTTGGCGTAGGGTTCAAGGTTTAGGGTTATGGAGGGTAGTTAATCCTTTTGGGGTCCTTGTATAGGGTGCCGTACTACATTGGGGACCCGAAAAAGGGACCCTAATCTAGAGAACCACCCGCATATAGTCTAGGACATTTTCAGGTGGGTAGTTACCGTTATAGGAGCCTTATAGAAGGTCCATATACCTTATAATAGAAGCCTTATAGACGCCCTATATACCCTAAACTCCCCACCTATAGTTCCCCTTAATATAGAGGTTGAAACTAGAGTGAAAATCTGTCTGGGAGACCCCGGAGCAAGCCCAGCTGAACGATGGGTTCCTCCACCGCGGGATGCTGTGGGTTTACGGCTTAGGGTTTAGGGGTGATGGGTTTAGGGTTTCGGGCTTATACCCTAAACCCTAAACCCTATAGGGGTGATGGATCCAAGAGCTATTCCGAGGGTGGGTGGTTAAAGACTCTCGCGCGCCGTTTCTGTAGACAGCCGTAAGCCCGAAACCCGGAACCCTGGCTAACCTAAAGCCTGAAGGTCGTGACTCGCCCCTAAGCCTAAACCCTAAACCCTAAACCCTAAAACCCTAAACCCTAAACCCTAAAACCCTAAACCCTAAACCCTAAGGACCATCAGCGGTCATGGAAATCCCGGCGAACTGGTGTTGGGAAAGCAGAGGCTTCGCTCAGGCCCCTGGTTTAGGGTTTAGGGTTTAGGGTTTAGGGTTTAGGGTTTAGGGTTTAGGGTTTAGGGTTTAGGCTGGGCAAGTGATGCGAAGAGCAAGGTTTGCAGGGTTAGGATTTAGAGTACCTGCAGTCTCCACGGATCGTAACCATAGAAATTGGTTAACCAAAAAAGGGAACTGCAATGGAGACTATAGGTCGGCCTTATCAACCCTTGACCCTACCTGGACCCTTTAAAACCTTCCTTTCTGGGGTTCCGGATTATGACTTCCTTAGAAAGGTAGGTTGTTTGGGGTCCAGGTATCTCTCTCCCAAACCCTGAGCATTGGATTGTGAGCGCAGGGGAAATCGGCGCTGAGAAGAGCCACACAGAGACCGCCAGATTTCTTCAGGCGCCTCGCGTTCCAGAGAGAGCTCAATCCCTAAACCATAGCATCAAAATCGCGCAAAAGGTCTTTGGGCCCAAAAGCATTCAAATATGAGTCCTTTGAGGGTATGGGTAAAGCATAGAAGGGCGCTAGAACTCTACAGCCCCTTCACCCAAGAAGTCTCGAAACTCGTATCCCCAAACCCGTTAAACCCCTAACCCCCCTAAACCCCGAAACCCTCCTAAACCGATCAACTCCTCAACCCCTAACCCTAAACTGCTGTTCAGGGTTTGGGGTTCGAATGTTAAGATTCTGGGGTGTGTAGAGTGTAGAGCGTAGTTTAGGGTTTGAGGAGTACATCCGATATACTCCTATGCCCCTCACCTGCACTTGTGGGTCCTAGACTTCCTAAACCCTATCTATGAGCCCTAAACCCTAAACCCC